AAGAGGATGTTACAAAAACATAATATGAGAAGTAAGAAAGGGCAATTTATTCCACACATTTACATAGAAGGAATGAACTACTACCTTCATTGATGGATACAAAGAAAGGTTACCAACAGTAAAGACACAGTGCAAGAGAAAATGAAAAACAAACAAAACTCAGTATGTCCTGAATTCAATGAAGTATAATAGGTAAGAAAAAAGGAACAAAGAATTGATCGGATCAAACAAATGAAGAGCAAGGTGGCAGATTTAAAGCTAATGATATAGATAATTACATTAAAATAAATTAAAAGGGAGATTGTGAAACTAGATAAGAGGGTAAACCCAACTAAATGCTAGATTAAAAAAATGTCACTTTGAACATAAAAAATAATAAGCTAATATAACACACACACACACACACACTATAAAAATATAAAAATCTGCAAATCTAACATAGTTATATTTCAGATAAAATAAATTTAAGAACAGGGAATATTACCAGAAATAAAAAGGCACATTTCATAATGAGAAAAGTATCAATAGGTAAGGATATCAGGACAAACCTAAGTGTGTAGGTACATATATACATACATATATATGCATGTGTGTGTGTGTGTGTGTGTACATAAATGAAGCACAACTGAAAGAATTGAAAGGAAATAAAATAAATTAAAAAATCTATAAACCAGAAAAGAAAAATCAGTACAGAAAAATCAATAAAATTGGGACCAGCAGTTGGAATAATGGCCATGTCGCCGGACTCCCATGTAGTCGACCGCGGTTTGATCCCCGGACCCAGTGGCTTAAACTGATGCCAGGTATGTGTGTGTACGTGCTCAAGATCCCGAAAGAGAAGACTGAGGCGTGGGCATCCCCCTTGGGGGGTGAGTTCTCATTTTCTGTCCATCTGTCTTTCTGGCAAGTGCACGTGCCCTATAGTAAAAGCAAAACGAAAACAAGGCTGGTTTCTTTATTTTATTATTTTTTTCTTTCTTTGTCTTTTTAGGGTTTTGCCATAGGGCATATTTGCATGCTGAAGAGAGACAAATACACAGAGAGGGAAAGTGAGAAATCACACCCCAGGATTGTTGGCTATGCCACAATCCCTTTTCTGACATTCTTCTGCAATTTTAGCATGAACACACAGGTGCCAGGTTTGGGAGTTGAATCGTGGTTGGCCATGTGGGAATTCAGGACCTTAACCACCACAACAACTGTTGGTCCCTTGGCTGGTTGTTTTAAAAGTTTACTTCTTCTATGAGAAAGAGATAGAGATTCCAATCAAAATCTTATCTTTATTTTTTTACAGACATTTACTAGTTTATTTTTAAGTTCTTAAGAAAATACAAAAACCTAAAATAGTTAAAACAATTATAAATAAAGAACTACAAAGTTGAAGAAATGAGACTAACTTTAAGATTTACTACAAAGCTACAGTAATTAAACAGTGTGGTATTGGGACCAGAAGTTAGCGTAATAGCTATGTCGCTGAACTCCCATGCAGTCGACCACGGCTCGAGCCCAGTGGCTTAAACTCGCTGGGCGCGTGTGCTTGCATGCCCAAGACCCTGAGAGAAGAACGAAGGAGAAGGGATTGTGGCATGGCCATCCCCCCTGGGGGGTGATTTCTTGCTTTCTGTCTCTCTGTCTCTGTCTGTCTGGCGAGCACACGCGCCCTATAGCGAAAACCTCTCCAAAAACAACAACAACAACAACAACAACAACAAAAAAACTCTCAAAAAAAATTAAAAATTAAAAAACAAAGCAAAACAAAAGAAACAAAAAAAACCCAGTGTGTATTAAATTAATAAGAGTCGTATAGATCAATGGAATAGTATAGAAAGATACCCACAACTGATTTTTCCACATGGGAACGGTGTCAGCAATAAATTATGTTGGAACAACTGAATTTTCAGATGCAAAAAGTAAGTCTCTCATCTGACACCATAGTAAAACTGAATTCTACACGGTACACAGTTTTAAATGTAAGAACTAAATTGTGCTACCTCTAGAAAAAAACATATAGGAAATAGTCTAACTTTGTGTTAGGCAAATATTTCTTGTGATACCAAAAATACTTACTATAGAAGGAAATAATAATTAATTGTACTCAATCAAAAATAAAACAAACTTTTGATTTTCTCTTTTGAAAATCTTTCACACCCATGGTTTCTATTAATTTTAGCATGCTACTTGCAAAAGTGTTTTTACACTCTAGTCACAAACAAATTAAAGAAGTCCTATTTAGAGGAAAGTACAGAGTGTAAAAATTGTTAATGACAATTTCAGCTGGAGGATTAATAGAAGAATTTCTTCTTTTTTTTTTCTTAAAAAAGAAGGATAGGGACCAGCAGATGGCATAATGGTTATGTCACTGGACTCCCACATAGTTGACCATGGTGTGAGTCCTGGAACTGGTGATTTAAAACTTAGGCTTGGTGTGTGCCCAAGACCCCGAAAGGAGAATAGAGAAGAAAGGATTGAGTTGTGTCCATCTTCCCAAGGGGTGATCTCCTGCTTCTCTCTATCTGTGTCTGTCTCTGTCTCTCCCACAAGGTCACGTACCCTATAGCAAAAATCTCTTTAAAAAAAAATAAGTAAGTAAATGAAAAAGATAGATAAATGGATTGTGAAACATCCACACAATGGAATGAAATAACATTAATGAATAAAAAGTAATACTGATACATGTAACAACATTGATGAAATTCAGAGTAATAATGCTGAGTGAAAGAAGACACATAAAGAAAGAGATTGGGACCAGTAGTTAACGTAATGGCTATGTCGCTGGACTCCCATGTAGTTGACCATGGTTCGCATCCCGGACCTGGTGGCTTAAACTCACGCCAGGCATGTGTGCATGTGTGCCCAAGATCCCGAGAGGAGAACGGAGGAGAAGATTGCAGCATGGCCATCCCTCCTGAGGGGTGATTTCTCGCTTTCTGTCTCTCTGTCTCTCTCTGCCTGGAGAGCACACACACCCTATAGCAAAAACCTCTCAAAAAAAAAAAAAAGAAAAAAGAAAGAGATCACATAATATGATACCATTTACATGAAATTCTAGAAATATATGCTCATTTACAGTGAAAGATCAGTATTTCCTTACCCAAAAGAAAGGTGACAAGGAGTAATTAGCAAGTGGGATTTCAAAGGGCATAAGGAAACTTTTGGATATATGAATTTGTTCCTTATCTTGACTATAGTAAGTTTCAAGAACATATATATATGTCAAAACATATCAAATTATACATTTTAAATAGGTATAGTTTGTTGCTTACAAATTTTATCTAAATAAAGCTGTGTTTTTTTAATATTTGAGGTGACATTTAAAAACATAAATTAATATTTAAAGATGAACCAGAGCACCCCATTAATAAAAAAGAATATGCATCATCTCAGATGCACAATAATCTACAATGATCTTTAAAATATCGAATACAACACCTAGTAGTTAATTATTTTTTGTAAGCTTCTCTTGTTTTCTATAAATATTGTATCTTTGCTCTTAACTAAGACGACGATAGTTCTATTTTGAGCAATATTTCTTCCATGACATTCATGACTTTCACAAACTGAATAATTTGATTTTATAACCAGCAGAACACAGAGGCTCCTGATAAAAGTCAGCAGAATGACACAATAAACAAAGGTAAGCAAAAAATGCAGAGACATTAAATGCCATTTCTTAGTCAAGTAAATCACTTACCACCTGCTTTGTGCCTTTTTCCTAGTTAGCTAATTTATTCCAACACTAATTTCCAAATTTGTTTGAAAAGTTAAACTGAAATTTAATGTTCTACTTACCAGCTGTTTTTCCTGTTTCTCTAAAGCTGCTCGATCTCTGATTATAGCCCTCTGTGTGCCTCGTAACTCTCGATTCTGTTCTTTTATTACATCTAAGAGAACCACAAAAGAAACCTAAATTTATAGGTTGTAGGATTTTCTCCAATACGATTTGAAATACTGCACTCAGATAACATGAAAAAAAAAAGGAAACTTAGATTTCCTAGAGGTACAAATTTTTTTATTTCAGTATATTAGAAAAAGTCCAGTATTAAAAACTTGCATTATAAATATTGATTCTAAAAAGAATTGACAGAAGATGCTAATATGCTATGGAATAAGGTTTAACCAAAAGTATATACTAAATCACAATGCAATATTCCCTTAGAGAATTAATTAGAATACGATGTTTTATATGGCACATATATATGTCACACAAAGATACACACACACACACACACACACACACACACGCCCATGCACTTTTCACCTCTCTTTACGACAGTACGGTATAAAATTTCAGGAAGAAAGACAGGTTATGTATTTATTAAATATTTTATTTTATTTTTTCCAATAGTGAGTCATAACAGGGTGAAAGAACAGACTTTCCAGTGAGTCAGATCTAGATTTGAGTCCAGCCTGTGCCACTTGATCATCACATGATTACATCTTAGTTAACACTCTTAAATTCTCAGGATTCTTCTTTTAAAAATAGGGCTTATTTAAGGAGTAAATAAGATGTGAAATGCTCTGATATACTGTAAGTGTCCATTCAATCATAAAGTCTTTCTCATTTATCTCAATTCATTTAAATTCTTTAATCCTACTTTTTGGAGAATCAAAACATTAAGATCTGACAGACTACTATTTTGATCAGTTGTTACTAAATAGTGATTTCTTCAAAAGATCACAGATATTGATGTTAATTCTTTTGTTTGTTTGTTTTGTTTTTTTGATGTTAATTCTTGACAACACTGTTTTTACTGTCAGAAATCTAAAGTTACATATATTACACAGCTTACTGCTCATAATAATGCTATGGACAAACACATACACATATGCACGTGTGTGTTTGTGTGTGCGTGTGTGTGTATTAGCTATTAGAAAGGTTAAATAACTTGCCCAAGGTCACATAGATAGCTGGAGTAACACCAGATTTGGATCTGAACTAGTGATCTTAATCACTTCACTGAAGTAACATTTAATAAAGATGTAGCCTTAAAACAACAACTACTAAAAGAATAATCTCTTCATCAAATGGCACTGGATAACTGCATATCCACATAAAAAAATGAAGTTAGACCCCTTACTTCACACCATATATAAAAAGTAATTTTAAAAATGGCCCATTAGAGCTAAAATAATAAAACTCTTACAAGAATACACAGGAGTAAACCTTCATAAATTTAGATCTGACAACGAATTCTAAGATAAAACATTAAAAGCATAAGGAGCAAAAGAAAACATATAGTGCCTTCATGGAAATGAAAATCTGTGCATCGAGGGTCATAATTAAATGAAAAGATAACTTACAGAATAGGAGAAATTATGTGCAAATCAGGTACCTAATAAGAGTCTAATATCCAGAATATATAAAAATTCAAACTACTCAAGAATAAAAGACAAACAACCCAATTTTAAAATGAGCAAAGGTCTTGAGTAGACATTTCTCCAAAGAGAATATATAAATGTCTAACACATAAATAATGATCAAGGTCATTATTCATTTGGGAAATGAGAAATCATTTCGTATCCACTAGAATAAGTATGATAAAAAAAAAAAAAAAAAAAAAAAAAAAAAACAGGAAGGGGCTGGATCAGTGGTTATGCAACCAGACCCATGTGGATAAGGTCTTGGGTTCACATCCAAGAACCTCCATGAGTACACCAAGTGCATGTGTATGTTAGACTGGCTAAGACTGGAGATGGACCATGGTACGAAGACTCTCCTGGGAGTACTTTTCTCTCCCTGCTCTGTCTCTCTCTCTCTAATGGGAAAAAAAAAAAAACTTTAAAATAATAATAATAGTAAGGACCAGCCCTGTAGCCTAGTGACTAAGAGAGCCAGATTCCATACACTAACTGTAATTCTGTCTCTCTGTCTCTCTTTAATGAGTGTATATGTCCTCTCATAATTTTAAAAACAATGGAAAATAAGAAATGTTGATGAAGGTGTGGAGACTGGAACCCTTTGTATTTGCTGGCAGGAATGTAAAATGGTTCAGCCACTATGGATAATGGTGTGACTCCTGAAAAGGTTAAATATAAAATTACCATATGACCTAATAATTCCACTCCTAGATATTTATCTAGAACTGAAACAGGTACTCCAACCAATGCTTCTACATGAATGTTCATAACACTATTCACATAATCCAAAAGGTAGAAACAACCCAAGTGACAATGAATAGATAAGTGAGCAAATGTAGCATATAAACAAGTAAAATATTATTTGGTTATAGAAAGCAATAAAGTACTGAAACATACTACCAGATGGATGACCCTTAGAAATACTATGCTAGTAAAAGCAATCAGATATAAATGATCACAATTTATAATACACTTACAGAAGGAACAAGCAGATGGCATAGTGGTTATGTGACTGGACTCTACATTGTTAACTGTGATTCGAGTCCTGGATCCGGTGGTTTGAAACTCAAGCTGGTCACGTGTGTGTGCATGCCCAAAATCCCAAGAGGAGAATAAAAGAAAAGAGACTGTGGAGTGGCTATTGACCCCGGGGGGAGGGGGAGGTGATTTCTCATTTTCTGTGTCTCTGTCTCTTTCTCACCAGTGAGTTCACATGCCCTATGGTAAAACTTCTCTCTAAAAATAAACAAACAACTAAATAAATAATACATTTATATGAAATATCCACAATAGGCAAATCTATAGAGACAGAAAGTAGATTGGCAGTTGCCAGGGGTTAGAGAGAGGGATGAATGATGAGCTTAAGGAGTACAGGGATTTTTTTTTTCTTTTTAGTCTGGTAAAATGTTTTGAACTACATACAGATGGTGGTTGCATACTGTGACTATTCGTGTATGCCAATGAATTTTTCACTTTATAATAATTAACATTATATGAATTTCACTACAATAAAAAAGTCAGCACTTATTGTCCTTTCCATGATATTAGTAATTATTACATAGTATTATCAGTTGTACTAATAGTTATTATATTGTTGGCAACACCAACCAACTTCAATGACTTTCTGAATAAAAGTAAAAATGAGAAGTCAATGCTCCTATTATATCCTATATATAAGACATCTGTTTCTCTCTCTCTCTTTTCTTTTTTTTGGAGAGGTTTTTGCCATAGGGTACATGCACTCGCCAGACAGACAGAGAGATAGAAAGCAAGAAATCACCCCCTAGGGGGGATGGCCCCACCGCAATCCCTTCTCCTCCATCTTCCCCTCGGGATTCTGGGCACCCACACACATGCACCTGGCATGAGTTTAAGCCACCGGGTCTGGAACTCGAACCGCGGTCGACTACGTGGGAGTCCAGCGACATAGCCATTACACCAACTGCTGGTCCCTTTCTCTCCTTTTCTTACTTTTGTTCTCAGTTATGTTAGGTGGGTGTATGTGCTTGAGATTTACTATGAACACATTTTGTATGTTGCTTAAATATATAAATATGAAACCATTCCATGTCTATAAAGGAGGTGAACAAAGAGGGGACTTTCTTTCCTAAAATGACAACAACTAGATGTTATGTTAAAACCCATGACATGTTTAAAAAAGGGAGTGGACATTCTGTAGACAAATATATTTGGGAGATGTTGAAATCGAAATAAACAAATACCTTGTCTTCAAGAATGTCTAACCTTTTTTTTTTTTCTTTTTTTTGGCGGGGGGAGGTTTTTGCCATAGGGCACGTGCACTCACCAGAAAGAGAGAGAGACAGAGAGGCAGAAAGCGAGAAATCACCTCCTGGGGGGGATGGCCATGCCATGATCCCTTCTCCTCCATTCTCCTCTCGGGATCTTGGGCACGCACGCACACACGCCCAGCGTGAGTTTAAGCTACCAGGTCTGGGACTTGACCTGCAGTCGACTACATGGGAGTCCAACCACATAGCCGTTACGCCAACTGCTGGTCCTGAGAATGTCTAACTTATTGTCAGTCCTTAAGGGGAAAATATATTGCAGATTATTACCAAATTTATTAAGCCATGACTACTTTTTAAGAAAAACCTGGGGTCAGGTGCTAGCAAAGCAGTAATGCAATACTCAGTGAGGCTGATCAACAAAGGCAGCTTCTTGGTTCACATTCAAAGACCTCCCTGAATATGCTAGGCACCCAGGTGCCCATGATCCTGAGTTGGCTGAAGTTGAAAGTGGATTATGTCATGAAGACTTTGTTGGGGTGCTTCTCTCTTTCTTCCTCAAGAAAAAAATACACTTTAAAAAAATGTACCTATTAGTATTTCCTAGATACTAGTGTCCCATGGAACATGGCTGGGATGTTATTGTAAAATAATAGGATATATTAGTTTGCTAGAGCTGCCTTAACAAAATATCACAAACTGGGTAGCTTACATAGCAATAATGAATTTTCTCATAGTTCTGGAGTCTAGAAGTCCAAGATCAAGGTGCCAGCAATTTTGGTTTCTCCTGAGGCCTCTCTCCTTGGCATGCAGATGTCCAACTTCTTGCTGTGTCCTTAGATGGACATTTTTTTTTTGTATGTAGCTTTTCCTGGTCACTTCTCTTCTTATAAACATACCAGTCATATTGGATCAGGGCCCTATTCTTTAAACTTCTTTTAAGCCTAATTACTTTTTCAAAGGCTTATTTTCAAATACAGTCACATTATGAGTCAGAGCTTCCTTATATGAATTTTGTGGAGTCCCAATTCAATCCATAACATACTATATTTTTTCTTCAGATATCTGTAGACTGACCCCAAACAACATAGAAAGCTCTCATTTCCCCCACCTTTCAAGGGAAATACCAGACTCTTCACCCTGTAACACTCAAACACACTCACATTTCTTCTTTTGGACTTAATTCTTATCTTCTCAAAGCCAATGGATTAGTTTCCAAACATTTACTACTTACCCCACCTGCAGACCTCAGGGGACTTAGGAGAAGAGAAGAAAGT